TTTTATTAAAAATCGTATAATGTCGATATATCATAGATCTGGAAAAGATCGAAAACCTAAATGGTTTCTGTAAAATAAAGCCTTTTTCGCTTGTCAAGTTTCCCTAAAACTATGCTTTATATTTGTATTTGTACAAAAAGTGTCTTCACCCGACCTGTACAGAAAAAAAACTTCCTAAAGCATTGTTAAGCTTAAGAGAAATTGGTTATCTTGGGGTCCCATTAAGTCCGCTATTTGGAATAACCGGGCATACTAAAACTTCCATTTCGGAATATATGGAATTCAATGTATATCCTTAATATTGTATGTTTGAGATATAACCTAAATTTTAGTTGTAATTAGCATCAGAGCATATGCTATTATTATTTTCTTTATATGGACTGCCGCAAATTGTGATTACTCAGCTTAAAAGCTTTGTGATGTCCGCTTACCTTTTTCCTATAGTTATCCATTCATGAAACTTTTTCGCTACCGTCTTTCTATTTGAGGAATTGAAGGTAATTATGGCCACTATGCAAGCTGTTGGCCACTTTTTCGTTTAATTCTAATGGGGGCTCTTAGAGGTAGCTGCTGCTGCTGATGATAATGTTAGTGCCGGTGCTTTTGTTTCTGCTGTTGTTGTTGTTGCTGCTGGCATTTTCTTTGTTTGTGTCGGCAACAAACGCAGCAGCGTCCTCTCTTGGCCACGTGCCGAACCTGCAGCATTTGCTTAGTTTTTTTTTTGGTTGGTCACGTTCCTAGTCTAGTTATTAACAAATAAATTGCGTGGCCAGCAATTTTCGTCGTTGTTATTGTTGCTGTAGGTTTTGTTATTGTTGTGAATGTTGCGGCATTTGTGGTTGGCAATGCTTTGGGGTCGCTGCTGCTGGCAATGCTGCTGCTGCTGCTGTTGCGTGAATACTAGCGACAGTTGTTCCAGTTGTTGTTGTTGTTGTTGTTGTTTTTGTGAGCTGTAGCTAAAGTTGCAGCTTATTGATGTTTTTGAGTGCAGTTTTTGTTGTTGCTCTTCTCATTACGTTTGTTGTGTCGTTGTATAAATGGACGTTTTGTGATTGTGTTTGGGGCGTCTAAGGCATTCGTTGTTGTTGTTGTGCGTGGAAGTTCCTTCTCGCCTATTCGCTGTTTTTTATTGTATTCGTTTTCGTTATCGTTTTTCTGCTCTCGTTGTCCCGTTAGTTAACAAATTTGTTTAACTTTCAGCGTTACAGTTTTGTGCATATTAGGTACACTTACACATACACACACACACACACATGCATAAACAGACAAAGCTTGCTTGCCGCTGCTTCTTGGTAGTTGCTCTTCTTCTTTTTCGTTTTCGCCTTTTGCTTACGCAGTCAGCTGTCATTGACATGTGCGCGCGCTCTCATGGCTGCTGGTCTCTCACAAATACTCTCTTTCATGGCACGACGTAACGGCGCGCGCCAATACACAGGCGTGGGGTGTCACACAAACACACACATACTTAAGAACGCACGCACAATCTGTGTAAATGTGAATGGTCTATGCATGTGTGAGTATTTGTTGTATATTTTTGCAATACAATAAGTTTTAATTCAACAATTTGTTGGGAAGGCTAAGAATACTTTGAATGAGTCGTAGTTTGTACAATTGTTACAGACACACATACATACATATGCACATAGGAGGTGAAATTTGTCGACACTTTTCTTCCTTTTACTTGTCACTAAAGTCTTGTTTTTGTGTTCTACTGCTTTTCGATTTCACTTCATTTTAATTCACTAGAAAGGGCTTTAGATAGCTTGTTATTTGCATTTTCCATTGGATTTGTCGTTGTTACTTAAGTAGTTATTGGCGGGTGCTCCTTTTGCAAATAAGCCCATCAATATACATACATATATACATACATACATGCATATATATTACATTTACAGTTATGTGTGTCGAACGTCTGGCCACCCCGCGCGCCTTTTACTATGCCTTGCCTGACGATTTTACTACGGTGTCGCCTTCGGTGCTTTTCGTTGTTTTGTTGTTGTTGCTGCTGTGGCAGTTATTGTCGTCGCCACATTAAATTAAAGTCCACATTTCACTTTTTAATTTGTTCCTCTCATTACTGGCAGTGCACTTGTTAAACAAATTGGAATGGATTGCAATAAAATACACAAAATAAAATGCAGCTCAGCGTCGCTTGGCCGCGCAGCTACAAGTCTTCTTTTGCACAATTTTCGGCCTTTGCCTTTTACTCTCTTGCTTTAAACGACGTTTGGCTTTGCCGCGCTCTCTGGCAGTTTATTTGGTGGTTGTTTTAATGTTGGCTTTCTTCCGCTTTTTTATGTGTGCGTGAATATGTGTTTGTGCGTGTGCCTCCTATAGCCTGATGTCCTGACAGATTATCTTGGCAGTTGCTTGACCATTGAGATAATGCCCATAATGCCTTGAATAGAGGCCCAAAATACTTGTCGCTTGCTGACCATAAACAGCAAATATATTAAAACCATAAAAAACAATTACAAATATTCACACACACGCACTCAAGCACTCACGTAGTAAAACGTTCTCGCGCTCTCTTTTCTAAACGTCAGAGCTGTCAAAGTTGCTTGGCAAACCACCCCCCAACAAGTTGACAGTTTGAATGTCACAGTCTTCAAGTTTTGCAGGCACTGACAACTTATTTTATTGTAAATTTTTAATAATTTTTAAATTTAAAAAAAAAAACCCTTTGTCGTTTACAAACGAAACGGTAACTGTTTTATCCTAAAATCAATAAGACCATGTACATCACATTTAACAACCAGTTTGGTTCTGCTCTGTTAAGTTAACATTTAACTTACACAACATGTTAAGAATGCTGTTAATGCTAAGTTACAGCGCTCTGTTATAAATTCCCTGAGATAAATATCCTTCAGCAATTTTAAGGATATGCAACATGTTGCTTTTTAGCCAATTTTAAATTTAGAGGTTTCTATCAAATTTATTCCATGAATTAAATGTACCTGCAGGGTAAAGGCACATGTATCGGATTTCAAAGCTAACATACAAGCAGGGGAGGTAATTTAATATCAAAATATCTAGTCCATCGCTTCTCAAATCAATATTTATACGATTTATATGACTTTATAAATTACATAAACATACTCGTATGAACATACATAATGTTTATTTTTTTTAAATCTTTAATATTTTTTTAAGATCCGTCCAGGGTTTGACAATTATTCAATTGAATGATAACTTTGAAATTTCAATCATGCTGCTGCCATGATCCGAACTGAGTGCCTACTTAGGAACAAGCTAACATTGTGAGATTCTTGCTAGCTCGTTGAGTATACTTGTATATATATATATTTGAAAATTTATTCTCATTGGTTTTTAGAACATTGAGTCTTTTCAGAAAACTTATCTGCCACAAAAATAAGCCTGTTGCTTTACCTTAGTACCATCATTTTATAATATACTTACATTATCTATCATTTGTTAAAGCTATTAATTTACAAGACTGTGTTAAGTATGTGGCAGAGATTTTGATCCTCTTTTGTAAATTTTATACTCTAATTTCAAAACTAAGTAGACTATTATTGCTCTTAGAGCTGTTCAGCTTTAGAGATATATCATAAAAGTATGTATATAACCGTTTTAAATGAATAATTACATGAAGTAATAACTAAAAAATAAATAAAATACTAAATAAATAAATAACCAAAACTTGTTCTATTAGCTCATGATTGGAAAAATCCAAATTGTTGTGAATGTATTAAAATCCCCCACAGCTAGGTATTAAGATTTATCTAGCCAATATTCAATTACTGAGCAGTAAACGCATCTTGGAGAATTATTGAAAACCAATAAATAATAATATCATATAATATACAATTACACACCATAATGATAGCCCCTTAACGATAGCTAAGGGTTCCAGGTGCTTCTGCTTACTGTCTGTCATGTTGGGGAATTAGGCTATCATCGTCTACTGTCGTGGCAATTTTGGCTAATAGTTCTAATGAGGGAATAGATTTTAAAGCATGCACGACTAATTGAAGCATAAGTAATGAGCCTGTTAACGGATTGGAGTTGTGAAACTGTTGAAGCTGTTGGTGTTAGCAACACTCGAAGGGTTGACGCTATTCCTGGGTTGTTTGGCGCCAGCCTCGGTCTCCAGTTAGTTAACATCACGTGTTTGTACATGAATTTAATCTCGGCGCAAACAAAGTAACAAGAATTCAATTTGTCACAGTGGTTGGTAACGACGGAGGCCGAGAGATAAACCTGCAGAGCATAACACGGCTTGGAAAATATTTGCATTTGCGTAGCTTGTTGAGGGTGTTGCGTAGGTAAGCCAAGGGCCCAAGGGACTTGTTAATGCAAACAATGCGCATTTGATATTGAAAACGCGGCTGGGTCGGGGTTGGGGTAGACTGGGTGGTTTACACGGATTTTTGCCGTCCTGGGGTAGTTTTGAGGGCACGCCTACATCGGGGGGTGCTGCTACAAAAGCTCAGCATCACATGCAACCGCACGAACATCGACTGCGTACGCCGGCTCTGGGGTTTAGTATGTCGGGACGAGAGACGTAGGCGGGCGCGCGGGCAGGCAGGCTACGCAGTGTTGCATTAATGTGTATTTCCGGTTTTTGCAACGGAAGTCGATTTATGTATTACTGCGCACAGTGTTTATGTCCCTGCCTCTGTCCGTGTCCGAGTCCCTGTCTGTGTCTGTGTCTATGGCAACGTCTGGGACCACAGTTGGTGACAATTTTTGGCTTGTTGTTGTCCGGCAAAATGTTTGCCCGCATGTGCCAAAAGTTTCCATAGAATCGCCGGTCGGACGGGAAAACAAATGGTTGGGTGTGTGTTGGCCGGGACTTCGGGACTCGCCATTGTCATGTAAATGCCGCACGCGCTTTAATGCTTTAAACTGCCTTCTAATGATGCGTTGTTGTCTGTTTCTACCCTTGTTTTAATTTGCTCGCCTTCGAGCGACTGCAACACCCATGCCACCCACAATGCCCGCTTCTCCCGCCTGTCACTCATTTAATGACTTACCTTATCTTCAGCTTCCTCGGCGCGCTCTTCCGCTTCGATGACGCGCTGCTCGAGCTCCGTTAGCTGTAAGAAATAAGAAAGAGAGATGTGTGCGTTTTAATGCCGGCCTGTCTGCTGTACTCAGTACTTTAAAGTCACTTAAACGACGGAAATCATGTGCAAATAACCGAGTTGGTTTATCAGCACATGCCACATAAATTTTATGGGCGTTCCGCAGTGGTTAAAGTTTCGGGCTAGCTACATACATAAAGACATGTACATAAGTAGCAACGGGCTTCGAGACAAACCAAAGCATTTAAGAACTTGATTCAAGTGCAATAGAAATGGGGTGGCAACTCAAAGAAATAAAATATATATAAATGTACAAGTTCCACTGTCTGATAATGTGGTTTAATCTTTATGGGCATGCGGTCCCAGACTCGACCAATAGGCAGGTAAAGTTAACGAGTCGGGCTGATTAACTTTCACGAAACCGTACCTCATCATCTTTTCTACGATACCTCAACAAGTCCTTGCATGTTGAAAACGTCAGAGCTTTGCACCACAGCTAACAGGAACCTGCACAATCTTGTTTAGACTTGCGCCTTAGACACGCACCTCTAGCAGGAAATTCCCAGTATTTGGTGAGTGTGGTGAAGTTAAAAGCTCTTCGTGTGTTGAAAAAAGGGGCTTGTGTTGGCCGCCAGTTGGCGCTACGGTCACAATTTGTGGTTGCGCCTTCGATTTAAGGCGCGATAGAATAAGACGTTTTCCCTGTTAAAGTAATGTCGACAATGGGCCCAACCGCTCGCCAAGACCAAAAACTGTATACAACCCCAAAAAAAGAGCGCTCAACCAATCATATTAAACGGCAGTTAGGGTTAATGTTAAGGCCTGTCATCAATTTAATGTACATGTTGGCGGCTAAATAAACAAAAGTGCCAGCGAAATGTGACAACCACGACCTGAAAAGGCGAGCTTGCCAAGTTCTGGCAGACTGACTAACCAAGAAACATAATTTTTGCAAGAAAAGTGCATTTTATGGTTGCATGAGAACTTATTCAAGAAAAGTTTAAGTCAAAGTTCAAGTGTGTCATTGTAAGCAATAAATAATTAATAAGAACCGGTCTGAAGGCTTTCAAACTTTGTGATTTAGGTTTTTTTCTAAGTTACTTGACCAGTATGAGGCACAAGCTCACAAGCTGGAGCACTAGACTTGAGGATTTGAGGGGCTCCCATACTAACTACAGGCCTTCGGATATAAGTGCTGTTTTGTTATCTTACTTTGTATTTTTTATTTCGAATAAAACGCTCAGCAACTTTATTATGACATCCATATCTGGCTTTGCTTTGCATGTATAACTTCTTATCAAAAACACTTGGGCACTAGCATATTAGATGTTCTTTCTTAGTATTTAACTTGAAATTATTGGGCGCGTTCATCAGCTTGTAGCGATTTGTGATTAATCATTACTGGTGAACGCGCCCATTGATTTGGGACGTTTTGAAACTTTGAAGTCAGTTTTGCAAAATGAAACGAATCTTCGACAAAGAAAAAATTACGAAATTATTTCAGTTTTTTTTATTAAAATATCCTTCACAAATAATTTCATTATTAAACTTGCCAATGAGAACTTCTTCTAAATTCTGTTCTGGAATTTTCGATATTTCTAATTGTACGGATTTTCGAAGCTTTACACAAATCGTAGTAAAAGGACATTCTAAAATTGCTCAAGTCAGCAAGAGCTGCAACAAACTGGGTTCCAGCGGGAAAACAGTGGAGTGTTTACACAATTTTTATGCCATTTACAAATTAGTGCACCAGCTCTGTGTTTTGAGAAGTAAACTGCCATATGATCCTGTTTCGGGGTTTGTTTACGCGGTATAATTTCCTAGATTTATCTAACTGCCTTCCTCTTCACCTGATAACTAATCCACACCATTCTTCCTTAAGCTGCCCAATTGCCTATCTGTTTCCATGCTTACGTTCAGCTCGGCATCATCAGCATCATCGTTACGACCATCATCGATAAGTAATCCTCAGACAGGCGCTCATATTTTTCCAGCAATTTGGCAGCCATCAATCAATGAATGGTGCTTAGAGAAGGCGAACCCGACCGAAGAGCCTACACTCAAGGCCCACTTAAACGTTATAAAAAGCGGAAATTAATGCACTTAAAGCATTCAAATAGACGGAGCATGAATACTTGGCCGTATAGCAGAAAGCGGATAAGGGGCATGCCTCACCATCGCAACGCAATGTGGGCTAAAGGGGCATCGGAATCAGGTCCTTAACGCCAGCCACGTCGATTGCTTGGCACGGCCCATTTATGCTCGCGGGCCACTTTGGTGATTAATTGATGGAATTCCGAAAGCGGCAAAGGGCGAGCACCAAGAAGCCAAAAGCACACCCATGCGGAGGCAGAGGGAAGTGTGTGTTTGTGGGCGAATTGGTGGTTGGGTGGTTGGGTGGCTTGCCTGTTTATATGCATAGCCGTTATTTCCCTGTTAATAGCAACCATTGAGCAGTTAAAAGTGCGAGATTAGCATTTCCGCTTGTCGAAGCATGGCTCGAATCGAAGCGAACCACAACACGCCCGCAGGCCACGCAGCTTTGACAAGTGGCTCAGTGGTTGTGTGCGTGTACCTGTACCTGTGCCTGTGCCTATGTCTGTGTCTGCCTCTGTGTTGGAGCTTGAAGTGGCTAGAGGCTATTTGCTGCGGGCTGCGGGCTATGAGCACCCATCAAGGTGTGTCACAGCGCAAACAAAGGACAGTCAATGTGCCTGAAGCACGCCAACCCGCGAATTATCCTTAAAGGGGCTTGGATTTCAGGTAAAACTCTCCTAAGACTGTTAAAGAAACCGTATCCCTAATACTAATATAGCACACAATATTACTGATAAATAATATGAAAAAATCATCGTTAAGGTGCTAAGCCTTTATGCACGGATTCAATGCTTATATTAAGCATAAAAAAAACCAAATATAGCACACAATATTTATCAGTAAAATGAAAAAAATCATCGTTCTTTGAGGGAACAATAAAAACTGTGAATAACTTAAGGAGCAGTTTATCCTTTAAAATGACAAATGTGTTAGTGATCGATTTATTCGATTATTTCAACTAAAAACACCGTTCAAACGCAGTTTAGATATTCATTTTTATACCCTAGGGTAAATATAATATATATATAATATAATATACCCTACATTATGTTTGTGCAAAGTATGTAACAAAGTATATATATTCTTAATCAGCGAGACTAGATGAATCGATCCAGACATGTCCGTCCGTCCGTCTGTCCGTCCGTCTGAATGAACGCAAGGATCTCAGAAACTATAAAAGCTGGAATAACCAAAGTTGGCATCCAGATTCTCCTAGGTCCGGGAAAGGACGAGTTTATTTTATTTTTGGAATTGTTTTATATTTATTTTTGAAACCAAATTATTTTTTTAGTGATTCATGAGTTTGGTAAAAAGAAATACTTAAAAAAGCTGCAATAATTTCACATTTAAAGGCATTGTCCAGACCAATTATTCTTTCTGAGTGCCTTTTAAGAGGACTTGAAGGTTTTCAGTAACGTCCGGTGAATTAGTTTCATGCATCGAACTAAATTGTTTGTGATTCCTTACACAAATCAAATAATCGCAAGAAAAGCTGTCCATTCTCTTCCTAGCCAGGAAATGAAAATTATAATAATAAAAAAATAAATAAAAAAAATACATACGAATTGAGAACCTCCTCGTTTTTTGAAGTCGCCTACAAAAGTGAGTGATGAAGTACTTGAATTTTCATTTACAAGAAAGCAATACTCAAAACAGACTTATAAATTCTAGACGCTGGCAACAGAGTCGAGTGTTAGAAAGAGTTGAGAAGGGATTGTGCGATAACAACTGTATGTATTTCTAAACAACATTTAAAAGGTGAATCATACACTCTTCAATAGACCAAGAGATTTGGCCAAGTGTTTGAGCCTCTCAATTCGTCGGAAGTTCGTCCAAAGTTCTCCGCATCGTCGTCGTCCATCACAATCTCGAGCGTGTTCATGGAGGTGCTGGCCAGCGAACTGGGTGTCGACGGTCGGTGGCAGCAGAACACGCGACTGAGGAAGGTGCGCCACATGCTGTGCTATCGCCGGCGAGGCTGGCTTCCAACTAACCGTCCGATCAGTTTCCGGCCAAGTACCAATGCTGATAGGCAATCGGCAAAGGCAAAACAGCTGCCACCATAGCTTCATGGCTTCATGACTCCAGCTCCAGCTCCAGATCCAGCTGTGCCTGCTGTATTGCTATCGAACGGTTGACGGCTTGACGCCAGCTCGCTGGCATTCCGGATATGTCTGGCATGCCATTGGCATAGCTCGTTGGAATTCTTGTGCATAAAATGCGACGCTCTCGCGGCTCTCCACTTCAGTTGAGTCAATGTGTGCAAAATGTGCACGAATATTGTCAAGTTCTTCAGCTGCACTTGGGTGCAAACGGAGGAGGAGGAGCACCAGCAGCACCAGCACCAGCAGCCGCTGCAGAAGGAGGCGCCACGAGAAAGGAGCACACACCACGATGAGATGCTGGAGGAGCAGGCGGCATTGGCCAGCATTGCTGCTGAGGCAATGGCACAGCGAAAGCGTCTAGTGCGTCCAAACCTGCCCCCGCCCGCTCCACCTGCAACCACAATATCTGAGGAGCGGCGATGCATTGGACTGCGACCTGCCGCTCAGCGAGGCAAGCGTATCTCCTACGATGCCATGCAGCGTCACGATCAACTATTTAGAGGGGATGGCTGCGGCCAGACTTAGCGACAGGGATTAACGAAAAGCCAAAACCAAAGCCAAAACAAACACAAAAATCTAAATAGAAATACAAATCGACGGCAATAAAACATAACAAATTGACACTAAAACTCATCAATATACTTATCTCCTACAATCCCCTACTGCCACACCTTCCTTCCCTCACTGTCCTGCTGGCTTAACATTTGCCATAAAACTTGCGCCAACTGATGTGCTTTAGTAAGCCACGTTTAAACTAGTTCTTCACATCATTTATAGATCAGTTATAGAACAGAGAGCTGGTTCAGATTA